TGATTATTATATTAATAGGAGCAACCTTCCTATTAATCTTAATTTCAAGTTTATAAATGTTCACTCATAAATTTAAGTAAGATGTAACTTTTAGTTTTTAGATACAGGGTTGCAATCACTCCACAAAACTCGGAATTCATTTTCAGATATACACGTTTATTTCTAAGCTCCGAGAAACTAATTACAATGGGATTATTTATGTATGACACAATTTCGATATTTAAAATAATTCAAAAATAATGGCAACCCTTATCTTTGTATTTATCAGCAATTTTTATTTTACCTTATATAACATTTTGGATGATTTATAATAAAAAGATGAATTAAATTGCTGACAATCAAGATGAATGAAATATTATTCATAGATATTTTGATATAATTCATTATTATTTTTGTAAATGATTTCATACAATTTTTCATAGTAAAAGGCATTAAATTGATTTTTACTTCATAATTGAATAGTAATTTAATGATATATTATTATTTAACTTAAAAATCTATTCAATAAACTATATTGTTATTATTCTGATAATATAAACTTATTTATTACTATAATACTTTGTTTGATAAATTATTGTTTGAAATATAATAGATATTATCTATCTCAAACCATATAATTAAAGAATTGTAAAATACTTTTAATACATTTTAAATATTCTAATTGGATTGATAATTGTCTAATTAATATTGATAAATAATAGAGATTATTCTTTCTTATTTGAATATAATATATAAAAGTTAGTAAAGAAACTTATATTTAATTTTAAGAAAAAGAGAAACAATATATTATTATCTTTAATAAAAAAAAAATATCAATTTAGATTTTAGTATTTATTCTAAAATTTAGAGATGTTTCAATAAATAAAAATTAAATTAAACATAAAATTAAAATTAATATATATATAATCTAAGAATTATTAAATAGAATTTAGATCAAGTGAATGAAGAATATTAAAAAAATATATAATAATAACTTTTATAGATATTGAATTTATTGTTTTATATAATTAGATTATTTAAACTTTTGGTAAATATTAATTAACATAAATATGTATATTGTTTTTTTAGATAAACTTATTTAATAATTAAAAATAAATGACTGATATTGAAGAAAAACCAATAATAAAAATTGAAGAACAAAATGATAAGAAAGGGGTATGTTATATAAGTAATGTTCCACCTTAAATGCCTATAAGTAAAATAAGGGAACTTCTATAACCATACGGTATAGAGCGAGTATATTTTAAAAGTAAAGGATCTGGAAATAATAGAAGTTATAGTGAGGGGTGGGTTGAATTTAAAGATAAAAAGATTGCTAAAATGGCAGCTTTATCATTGAATGGAACAAATATTAGTAATTATTTGGAATGATGTTTTTAGTTTAAAAGAAACATAAATAATTATCAGATTATATGTGGTCAATAAAATATTTGACTGGATTTAAATGGGATGATTTAAATGAGAATTTTAATTATGAAAGGAGACTATAAAAGAAGAAATTAGATTTAGAAATAAATTAATCTAAGAAAGAACATGAGTTTTATTTAGAAAAAACAATCAAAAAAGTTAAATAATAATGATTATATTTATTTTATTCTTTATAATCCAAGAAACCATATGTATACCAGTTTCAATATTCATGTAATATACAGATAAAAATGATACAGTCTATAATGAAGGTTCATTATAAAAGGAATTTGATATATCTCCAATTTTGAAGAGAAGATCTTGTACTTCACCTAAAAATCTAATTAGAATTGACACTAAGAATAAAAACATAACATAAGAAGATTATGAAATATTAACTATAATAAATAATGATGATATTACATATTAAGTATTTGTTGAGTAATAGACAAATACAAATAAATCAATGTAAATAATATATTTTAAATATTAGAACAACAAGATCATTTACAAATGATAATTCTACATTATTAAACAATTAAAGTATGAAATACTATTTATATTAAAATTGTACTGAATATAGTATGTAAAATCTTGAAAATGCATGGGATTTTATTTATGTAAATGTAATCTTAATGGAAAACAAAGATAAAAATCATACATTTCCATTTTAATTTACATATACTTGTAATGAAAATTATAATTTTATAACTTTTGATTGGAGTTTAATAATATTAATATCTATAAGTATAATGTTAATGGCTTTATTAACAAGATTTTCAAGAATATTATCATTTAGTTTAAAAGGATAAAATGGAAGATTTTAAGGTTTTAAAATAGATATAATTATTACTATCTTTTATTTTGTAATGTATACAATTGGATTCTTTTTGGTTTTTAATTCAAATTATGTTGAAGAACTTACTATTGTAGTAAAGGTATCTACATATTTAATGGGATTTTCATGTTCATTATTTATTATAGATGAAGTATTATAATAAAATATATTTAGGCATTAAATTTATCTCCTGATGGATCATTTTGGAAAAGAAAAGTATTTTATAAAATAAGATTATGTGAAGTATTCTCATTTATGCTTGCCTCTGCATTCATGACACTATATTTATTTACTTAGGCTTGGTATTTAAGTGATTTAATATCAATTTTTATTATGTCTACAATAGCCAAATTATTCAAATTTAAAAATCTTAAAAGTGCTTTTCTCTTTTTGATAATATGTATAATGTTAGATGGAACAGCTGCATCAGTAATATATTTTACAACTAAATAATCTTATAATTCATTAACATTAAAGATTTTAAATTGTCCAATTGAATTACAATTACCATTATTAGAATTATAATATGATAGAAGTTGTGCATGGATATCATTGTTTAGTATAGCAATACCTGGATTGTATATGGGATTTACATATAGATTTGATAAAAATAAAAGAACATTTTCATACACTATATTTACTGGTTTAGGTTTAATTATTGGTTATATCATTTGGATAACTACTACTATAGTATAAACATATTCAATTCCATCAAGTATTTTTATATATCCTTCAATATTGATTGGTACAATTATAGTAGCTTTAAAGAGAAATGAGTTGCAATCAATTTGGGATACAGAATTTTTTGATGAATTTTTAGAGAAATAATATAGATTATCAAATATATAAGGATAACATGATATTGTTAATCATCTTAATTTAATGGAAGGATTAGATTAATGTCCAGATGAATAACCAACTTAAAGTAGAATATTTAAATGATTTAATAAATTAAAATGTATTTTTATCATTTTATACCAAATAATAATTCATTCTCTTTAAACATTTCCAAATATAATTAAGAGATTTTCTATTACATATTCAACATAGTTTATATAGTATTATATTGATTCATATTCATAATTATCTAGATTTGTTAATAGATATTATTATTAATATATCCAAAATTATCTTAAATAGTTTCAAATTATTTTGTTTCTTTTTAAAATAAACTTTATTTTAATTGTTTTTCAGTTAAAACTCCATAAGATTATGTTTTTTATTAAATTTATACATTAGTCAATTCCTTAAATTGTTTATCTATTTTGCTATCTATTTTTTATAATGCTTTTAAAGATTCATCACGAAAAGTGTCTCTCTATTTAATTTTCTCTTTCAAAGTTTCTATTATTTGATTTTAATATTTATAAAAATAATCTATATGTTTAGAAATAACTAAACAAATATCATCTTGTTTCTTACTCCATGTCATAAACATTTAATTTAGATTTTTATAATAAATTTCATCAACTTTTTCAGGTAATTATTCATTTTAATTCTTATTTCTTTATTATAAATTCAAAAACTAATCTGCTAATAATTTATATTCTTAACCTAATTATTTATTTAAACCTACAATTTTCTTAGATATTTATCTAATATTATTATTATATTCTATATCCTTATTTAATATTCCTAATTAAAATGAGAAGAAAGATTCGATCTATTAACTTATCTAACATTCTATTTTACCATTTAAAGTCATTAAATTCTATATATCATATTATCTCTATTTCTATTATTTTAAATTATTTTATAAATCCTTATCATTTTAACAACTAAAAAAGTTATCTACCAAACTATCAAACCAAAATTATCTAATTACTGTATTCATAAACTTCTCCAAAGCTAATTATCTGAAATCAGCTATATTATTATTAAAGCTTGTTGATACTTTTTCAGGAATTGGAGGTACATAATACTCAGGATAATTCTTAACTAAATATTCTCTTAATTTATCAAAATCAGAATATCTTCTACAAATAATATAATCATATGGATCTAAAGTTATATTATATTAAATATATGATTTAGAAAATAAAGATCCTTATTACTCTTAATAACTTTGAATCCTCACTTCAATATTTGGATGTTTATACAAAAAAGAATTCTAATTTATCTATATCTATTATCCTTGATAAACTTTAAAGCGTTAAGCTACAGTAATCATAGGATTTTATTAAATATTAACATATTATGTCAAAGAAGGTTATGGGATCTGTGGTGTCTATATCAAACAATCTTGTTATTCATTTAAACTATCTTATTTTGTAATTTCCTATTATGAATCATAATTTGGAGTAAATTAATAATTATTGATATCAGCTTATTAGAACTCATTCCTATGTGTATTTTTATATTCAGGATTTTGAGTCATTACAGAGGTTGCTTGTCTATTGTTATAATGATTATTACTGTTATTATTAAAAATTTACAAACTCTTCTCTTGCTATAAGCAACTCATCCATATTCCATAATTCAATTTAATCACCATTAGTTTTTTTACTTTTCAAATATTCTAGAAATTCTGTCTTTTAGTAACCTTGGGCCTAAATTGTAGTCTCAATGAAATTATCTATTTAATTTATAAATGATGCTTTATCCATATATTTATATAAAATATTTAATATTCTCATTCTTTATATAAGATACTCTTAATATCCATATATATACATTATCACATTTTTTAATCTAAAATACTTATAACTGATAATTTATTACAACATATCTCATTTATTATTTAATATTAATAACAATGAATTTCTTAGATCATTTCAAAGGCAGAACCTAAAGAGTCCCTAGAGAAGGCTATTTAAATTTATTTGGATTGGAATCAAATAGAGTAGTTTAGAATCCTTAAATCTCAAAATCTAAACTCAATTAATCTCTTTAAAAAATACAACAAGAAGAAGCCTAATTACAAAATGAAATTATGGAAATTGATGAATATTAATTGAAAAGATATTCAAAAATCTCTACAGAAATAACTACTCCAAGATCTTTTAGCTCTAAAAAAAATCTTAGTGCAATTAGAAGTGCAAAATTTATCTTAAAATACTGAATTATGATGTATACTCATAACTTGATAATTTGTTAAATGAATGATTATAATATAAATATTATTTAAATCTTTCATATTTTCTATGATTTCTAATAAAATTGACATTTTCGCTTTTCATTCATTTTCTTTAAAAAGATTTTTGTTAGTATGATTTATAAATGATAACTATATTTTCAAAGGGTAAATTAAACAAAAATCTTGTTAATCATTATCCAATATCTATATTATCATAGTTTCAGAAATAGTAATATCTTATTTTTATATATTTAAAACCTAATGACAATTAAGTATAAAAACAGTTTGTCACATTAAGTACTAGATTGATAATCATCTCTCAATTCATAATAAAAAAATGATAAAATCATAGTTAAAATTGAAATTATTTTGAAACGATTTGCTTATTTTTAATATGAAATTTTCATATTGCAAATGACAATCACAATTTTTATATAAATTAGTTTAATATAATTATGATAAATATCGTTTAGAATTTGAATTTTATATGTGATATGGAAGAATTAACAATAGTTATAATAGATGAATGGAATAAATTTAAATTTAAGTTAAATTCTCAACTCTATTGATAAAAGGGGAAAGTATTAGCTTTACTTTTGATTGATAATATGAGATTGATAATTAAAAAAATAAAAAAGTTCTTTTGTTAAAAATAAAGAATATAGTTTTTAATGAATGTTAAGGAATAGATTAAAGATTGAATGAATAGATAGTATAATGAAGTGTGGTTTATATATATATATAGCAATTAAAATAAATATAATGAGGTATAAAATATATATTTAATTTTGAAATTCAAATTCAAAAAAATATTAATTAATTAATAAAATGTATAGAAGTTAGAGATTGAGAATGAAATCATAAAATCATTTATCGATTTCACCTCCAATAATTAAAAGAAGATTAAGAAACAAGAATGAATATATTGAGATGAATGAAATTGAACCAACTGATAAAAAAAAATAAAACATTTTATAGGATATAGCAGCAACAAAATAAAAAAGCTTAACAAATTTTGCATTGACAGTTACACCTAAATATGGATAAGAAAGAGATTATGATGATGATGACGATATTCTATTTCATGTATTAAAAGTTATGTATTAATTTAGTCAAAAGGAAAAAAGAGACCATGGTCAGAGTAGGAAGACAATTTATTAATTAAATTAGTTTAAATGCATGGTCCTTAGAAATGGACATTTATTGCAGAACATTTACCAGGGAGAATAGGTAAATAATGTAGAGAGAGATGGCATAATCATTTGAATCCTTAAATAAAGAAATCTCATTGGGGAGATTATGAAGAATGGATTTTATTTCTATCACATAGAGTTATGGGAAATAGATGGGCTGAAATGGCTAAATAATTAATAGGTAGAACAGATAATTCAATAAAGAATCATTGGAATTCAGCAATGAAAAAACGTATTCCTGAAATGGAAGAGAGATTAAAAGATATACGCAAAAGAGGAGGTACAATAAAAGTTAAATATCCTATAGGAATGTAAAATTCTGAATTGATGAATTCATTTACTACTTTAGAAAGATAATTATTATAAAAATTGTTATCCTCTCAATAAAATGGATAAATGTCTCCTAGATCTTATTCTCCTAATAATATGCCAAGAAGAAGGACAAATAAATAATAGAATTATTTGAATCCAAATTCAGTGAATTAATATATATAGAAAATGATGAATGAAATAAAAATAGATGGAATAGAAAGTTATACTATGGAAAATAAAATGCTAAAGAAAACTGCAAAAATAGCTGATTCAATATTTTGGAATGAAGATAAAGTAGATGATATATAAAATAATTTATATGAATACATATAAGAAAAAGTAGGAGCTCATGGTTATGATTAAGATGAAAAAGTTGATAGATGGATAAAAAACTTTTGGATTATGTGTTAAGATGTTTTTACAGTATCTGTAATCAAAGACTTTTTATCATAAAGACCTTCATTTTATTATAATTATTTACATAAATATAAATAAGATAGTGCTAATTAAGTATCTAAAAATTTAAGTAGAATTTATGAATAAACTAATAATAGTGATGAATATTAATTACCTTCTCTAAATTAATTTAAGACTCCTTTAAAAGAAAAGTCTGATCCTAATTAGAATAATATAACTAATTCTAATAACAATAATAATAATAATAACCATAACAATGATACTAATAGTCCTAGTAATCTTTGTTTGGAAGTCAAATATGATGATCAATTTTAACATTAAATTGAATCACCTTCAAAATTATTAAATTTACTTACACCAAAACATTAAAATATATAATAATCTAATAAAAAGACTCCAAATTTAAAATCAGAAAATAAGAGTGTTATTCAACATTCTTAATTTAAAGATAATTTAAGTTTAAGTAAATTAAAATTTGATACTACTCCTCTTAAAAAGAACTCAGCCTTTAAATTTTATAATAAATTTAATTAGTAATAGTAGCTATGAATAATTATTTAATATGTTTTTTTTTATTAACAGAATTACATTAATTAATTTACTGTTTTGTCTAATAATAATCATTATTAAGCTTTATTTGTTTTCACAGTCCCAAAGTATCTATCTCCAAAATCACCTATTCCTGGAGCTAAGTAATTTATGTTTTTCAATAAAATTGGATCAACTTATGCTGTAATAATCTTTATTTTAGGATATTCACTAAACAATTTACCTAATCCTTATTCGCAACTAACTAATGTTAAAAATGTGATATTTTCTTCTTTTACACCATGATTTTTTAATATCTATAAAGCCATACTTGCACTTCCTCCTGTAGCTAACATTGGATCCACTAAAATAACTTATTAATCTTTAATGTTTTGAGGTAATTTTTAGAAAAAATATGCAGGTTGTGAAGTTTCCTCATTTCTTTAAATTAGTATTTATCCAATTGATGCTCCTGTCATCACTTTTAATGCTTCAATTAAAAAGGCATTTCCTGATCTAAGTATACTAACAAAGCAAATTCTGAATTATTTAACAAAAATACTCTTCATCTTAAAACTTTAATTCATGAGCATCATAATATCCTAATGGAGACTATTTAATATGTTTCTTTTTATCAATTTAAGAAATGGCTTATTCAATTAAAATTCTAATTAAACGATCTGCATTCTTTCTGAAATCCTTTGATAATTCTTATTAATAAATACCACAATATCTGTTTACACATCTCTAATCACTGATAAAATATGTTCTGTATAACTTTTATCTATGATTGATAAATTTGAATGTTTCTTTTGTAATTTTTATAAATCGTGATCATTAAGAAAATGATAATGAGGTAGTTGATCATCTTAATTTTTTCCTTTAATCTAATTGCATAAAACATTTGATGAACTCAATAAGCCCAAACAGCCTCCTATTTTAATTAAATTCCTAAACATTATTTAAAACAATAAAATTCATTAATATATATACAAATATGATTTTAATAATTGAATGAATAATGATCAATTAGAAATATATATATTAATTAATCATTCATTCAATCTTTTCAATCATTTAAAAAAATTCTTTTAATGAAATGCGACCATCTTGATTTTAACCTAATTCTTTAATTATTTATTTTAACATTTCATCTGTTATTCCCATAAATATTGATTAAAATTCATCCAAACAAATACTACCATTTTTATCCTATTTAATTTATATTACATATAATACAATATCAAATATTTTAAATGTTGAATGTAATCTTTATTATGACAAAAGCACTTATTTATCTATACTAGCAATCAAGAAATCTAAAATTTATTTATTTATCTAATTAGATACCAGTATAATTAATCATCCCTGTATTATTTTTATCAATTTATGATAATATATTATCAACTACTTCTACTGCTTAATCAGCATTCATAATCCTTTAATATCCCATTAATAATTCTTATCTACTTAATTTTCCATCATTATTTGTATCCAATTATTAAAATACCATTAATAATTCTTATTTCTCTTTTTCTGTTGCCAATTGATTAAAAATATCTTTAAAACATGTTTCTTGTATTTTTTATAATTTCTAAAATCATTATAAAATTCTACTTTAAAATTTATCATATTTATCAAGATCTTCTTAATTATTTACTATTCAACCTCAGGAATATTTGTGAATTTCTAAATCCAAGGATCTTATAATGCTTATTCAGCACAATATCTCTTCGTTGGATCATATGACAATAGTTTCATAATACAACCCTTTGCTTCTTTACTAATATCTTCCAAACCATTTGATTCAAATGAATAAGTCCCCTTTTTAACTCTCTCAATTATTTTATCTTCACTTTTACCATCAAAAGGTGGATATCTAATCTATATTATACTATTATTTACCCATATAAGAGTATATATAATATTACACCACAAGACCATATATCACATTTTTAATCATAATTTTTATTTAGTACTTCTGGTGCAATATAATAAGGTGTTCCTATTTTTTAATTCAATTTTTGATTAACATGAAATTCTGTAGAATTTCCAAAATCAAAAAATTTTAATAATGAATTTTCTTTTTCAGATTAATATAGTATTTTCTCTGGTTTAATATCTCTAAATTCTATAATATAAAATAATAACCTAAGAACTATATTTTATTGGTGACAATAATTAACAGCAGATAGAATTTGTTTCATAATTTCTGCTGCTTTTTTCTCTGATAAACTTCCTTCCTATCTAATCTTTTCAAATAAATCTCCTCCATCACAAAGTTCTGCAAAAATATATAGAAATTTATCATCCTAAAAGAAATCGAATATTTTTATAATATTATAATGGTCCTAAAAGTTACAAATTTTAATATTACAAATTTTTAAAGAATTTGAATTTCATTCATTAATTTCTCCTGCTCTTCTTTTGATGTTTATGACTTTTTTATTTTTTTCATTGCCCACATTTTACCTGTTTATTAGTGTATCCCTTTTATTACTTCACCATACACACCTATAATATTTAGATAAATAATTATACTGCATCCTAATGGAGGATTAAGAAACGTATAATATTAATAAATTCTATCCATTTTAGTACTTGTGATAATACGACCTTTAGTTTTCTCTTATACTACAAAATATAACTATTCATAACTATTTAATCTATGTTATGCTAAGTTTTCTCTTTTTTATAATTCATCTATTGAATCAGAGTTATTATTATCAAGAGATTTCACATGACATTTTTCATTTTGTATAGAGTAAATATCCATTTTATTAAATAAATTTAGAATAGCACCTAATTATATTCATTTTTTATATAAGAATAATTGATTACAAAGCACTTTATATATAATAATGATATATATTGTATTTAATTTATTGTATTAGATTAAAATCACTCAAATTCTGAATAAGCTTTATAAGTTCCTGGACCAGGACTTTTGGCTCCTAAATCGAATGGCCCTTTCCTAGTGGCTTTTGGGAAAGAATTTAAGACGGAAGATTTGAATCCATTTTTGGCACAGAACCCTGTTCCAGTGATTCCTGTATTCGAGATATCATAGCTAGCTGGTTCAGGAAAACTATTTTAAGCTATTATTAAATAATTTTTAAACTTTATAAGGTTTTAAATCTATTTTAATCTTTGCCTATTATGGCAGCACCTGAACTTCTGAATTTAGAAATGTATTGATTTCCTCTTTGATTTGTTATTTGTATAGCTTCATAGGATCCAGGTCCTACGAATAGATAAATTAATAACCAGGAGTATTAAGCTATTTTAAAGATCCTGGTTTTAGTCCAAATGTAAATTTGGAATCTATAAGGGAATTTGTTGAAGAGTATCTACCAGGACCTGGAGATAGCTAATTCAAAGAACCCCAAATTCCATGGGCTTTCATTTAATCTCTACTATAAGCAAATGTGGATCCCTTCTTTTTGTCTATGTTATTTTCAATAAAAGATTAGATTTCATATTAATTTGGAGCTGGAACTGGTTTAGCATCTTTAGAAAAATCATGTCTAAAAAAATAAACTTGAGGTACTTAAGTCCATATCCTATTCCAGCCATTCTAGTGCCCAAGGATTAGGGTAATTTGTAACTTAATTAATCAGTTCTATATGAAGTTAGAAAGAAAATTACGCTGATTTATTCTAAATGGGTTCTCTTCTGGCTCTTGGAAATGAATACTTTTATTTAGATAAAGAAGTATTCAAAGTTGAGTCATGAGTGGCCTAATACTAATTCATTATATAATCTAAATATTATAAATATATATATATATTTATTTATTTCATTCTTAAGATTCTGAGAATTTTTCCAAAACTATTAGAGAATGAGAATCAAGTTTTGAAAGATACTTATTATTGTTATCGGCTTCTAGAATATAAATATTATTATTACTTAAATAGGTAGAATATTTAGTATAGAGTTCTTTAGCTCTCTGCTCACACTTAAGTATTTCATTATCTTTCCAAGGAAATCTTCTGTAACTTTTTAATTTCTATTAATTATAATATTTATTATTACTGCAAAATCTCTTGTAATAATAATTTTAATAATCTGTTTAGTCATATTATCAATTTTTTCATTGTTTTCAAGAATGCAAATTTATTGAAATTAAGCTAATAATATAGTTATTATTACTTAAAAATTTTGAATAGAAACTAGAGAATTTCTTGGATGCGAATAGTTTTCTTAAGTAAGTGTCATTCATAGTCTTCATCTTAGAGTCCTTTCTAAAGGGAATTATATCATCTATTGATTAATGATCAAGAGCATTCATAAATTCCTTATCATTTGAAAAGAATGAATGATAAAATTATCTATCTTTTTCTTCTGCTGATAAATCTTCTTGTTCTTCATACTCAATTTGACTTTTTATAAATAGAAAACATCTTCTTATAATAAACTTAGTCATTTCCTCTTTTGTTTTATTAATCTATACATAACGCTTCTTAATAATGTTAGGTATGTCTTTAGAAAATGAAGAGAGAGTCTATATAATCCTATGTTGAAATACTTTTAAATTTTCCTTTACAAACTCTTCAAAGACAGAGTCTTGGAGTAAAGAAATGTTCTTAGAGAGGAATATTAACAGAGAAGTCATTTCCTTTTCTGCTATAACCTCCATATTATTTATTATAGCATCTTCTTCGATAGGTTCTGGAAACTGACAAGCTTAATCAAAGGTTTCTTTCTTCACAATTGGCAAAACATAGCCTGATGTTGGAAGCATATAGAATTATTAAAGGTTGAGTTAAGGGTAATTGACATATGGTGTTGTACACATTAATGGAAGCATGAGATGATTAAAAAAAAAATTAGATGTTAAAATAAAATATCTTTTATCTTTTATTATTATTATTCATTAAAATACTAAAGTCTTTTATAAATGATATTAATAATGTCATAATTCTGTTGAGGCTACATATTAATACTTATATGATAAGGGAGGCATTGGAACATGTACAAATCTCCCATCAGGTGATTTCTCATAAAAGTTACCTGCATTTCTATAATATCATTATTACCATATCCTTTAACTTCTTTTTTGATGAATTCTTTATCACGTTTCAAAAAGCATCTATCCATACTATAAAAACTGCCATATTCCTTTCCATAATTTGTATTTGATAATGATTTTCTGCTTTACCTAATTGTTTTTTTTGCAATGCTCTCTTCATAACTTTATCTCTCAGGAATCATTTATGGTTTTCCAGTCTTTTTGCCTTATTTTTTTATAGGTGGAGGAACATAATTCTAAGGCAATGGTGGTGGAATATATTTTGGTTTTGGAGGCTGAATCAAATATATTTTATACTAAAGGAGGATCATCAGGCACTGGTTTAACTCCTATCTTTTAAGCAATCTTAGGAAACACTCCTTATATATCCCAGGTTAGTTGAAATGCTCCCTTTCTATTATGTTGTTCTAATTAATTCAATCTTTAAAATACCTGGAAAAATTCTTTTAGAACTTATCACTTCCTTTTTTGAAGGCATACCATGTGCAACCTATATTTTAATATATAAATACTATAGTTTAAGCAGTTGCCATTATATTTTATTATATTAAATTATTGTGATTATCATTAATTCAAACAAACTTATTGTGTTTATCAAGTATAACCTGAAATCTAATTATATATAATTGAAGAATCAATCGATGATAAATTCAAAAATATTAGATAATAAATAAGTTTAGTAAATATATTTTAGTTTATTGAATATTAAATCTAAAAATATAGAAATCAATGATAGAAAAAAGAGAATAACATCATGGATGAAGAAAATATAAAAGTATTATTACTATTTATTTTTTTTTAATGATTACAGGTATATATTTATAGCTTTTAAAATAAATATTGGATACAATTAATTAAATAGCACGCATTCAAAAATATTAAAAATTAAAGTTAAATGCAAAATCAGTATGAATAAATTCTAGCAAATCTTTATGGAATTGGAATCTTAGAGATAATAACTAAAGATGGAACCAACATTATTAATGTTATTTTATTCATATTCTAATAAATAATGAAAGAGATACGTTAAGAAAAATGGATTATTTAAAAGATCAATAAAAAATAAATGTTTTTAATAAGTTAATTATAAGGTATTAAATAGAGATAATATCATAAAAATTGCTTTAAAAATTTTTTAGTTCCATCAAAAGTAATTGGCATCTTTCCTTTCAGACTTCTATCTAACTTTGTTTCCTTAGTAAGTACTTTTTAAATACAATTTTGAGTGGATTATGTACTTTTAATTAATAAATCCTCTTTGTTGCTTGTTGATGAAATAATCAATTGAAAATTTTTATTTGCAGATTATATTCTCTTATTAATAATATTATTATTAATGTTATTAGTATTAGTATTATTATTATTATTAATACTATTGCTTCTTTCTTCAACTTTTTAAATATTAGAAATTGAATTGTTTTTTTTATTTATTTATATAACTGGTTAAGCTGAATATACTAATTCAATCAATTAATTATTAGAATCAGTAACTAACTTTAATGATGAGTTTTTTAACATCTATTTTCCAGTATTAATTTTATTTAAACTATCTATATCATTCTATTATTCTCTTTATGTTAATGGGTATTATTTTTGAAGATGAAAATTTCTATAATTTAATAGTTAACCTTGTTTATTATATTTAAATAACTTTTCATTATCTTTTCTATCACTACATAATTAAATAAAATTAAATTCTTCTTTAAGTGACTTAACTCTATTTGATGCTCCTTTTAAGTATTATCTTTTATAATTAGTTTTGGTTATTGGCAATCTTTAAAAATCTCTATAATTTGATATACCATTTGTAGAAATAGTTCTAAATCCTCTTAAATCTTAAAGTGAAACAGATANAAGTTTAGTAAATATATTTTAGTTTATTGAATATTAAATCTAAAAATATAGAAATCAATGATAGAAAAAAGAGAATAACATCATGGATGAAGAAAATATAAAAGTATTATTACTATTTATTTTTTTTTAATGATTACAGGTATATATTTATAGCTTTTAAAATAAATATTGGATACAATTAATTAAATAGCACGCATTCAAAAATATTAAAAATTAAAGTTAAATGCAAAATCAGTATGAATAAATTCTAGCAAATCTTTATGGAATTGGAATCTTAGAGATAATAACTAAAGATGGAACCAACATTATTAATGTTATTTTATTCATATTCTAATAAATAATGAAAGAGATACGTTAAGAAAAATGGATTATTTAAAAGATCAATAAAAAATAAATGTTTTTAATAAGTTAATTATAAGGTATTAAATAGAGATAATATCATAAAAATTGCTTTAAAAATTTTTTAGTTCCATCAAAAGTAATTGGCATCTTTCCTTTCAGACTTCTATCTAACTTTGTTTCCTTAGTAAGTACTTTTTAAATACAATTTTGAGTGGATTATGTACTTTTAATTAATAAATCCTCTTTGTTGCTTGTTGATGAAATAATCAATTGAAAATTTTTATTTGCAGATTATATTCTCTTATTAATAATATTATTATTAATGTTATTAGTATTAGTATTATTATTATTATTAATACTATTGCTTCTTTCTTCAACTTTTTAAATATTAGAAATTGAATTGTTTTTTTTATTTATTTATATAACTGGTTAAGCTGAATATACTAATTCAATCAATTAATTATTAGAATCAGTAACTAACTTTAATGATGAGTTTTTTAACATCTATTTTCCAGTATTAATTTTATTTAAACTATCTATATCATTCTATTATTCTCTTTATGTTAATGGGTATTATTTTTGAAGATGAAAATTTCTATAATTTAATAGTTAACCTTGTTTATTATATTTAAATAACTTTTCATTATCTTTTCTATCACTACATAATTAAATAAAATTAAATTCTTCTTTAAGTGACTTAACTCTATTTGATGCTCCTTTTAAGTATTATCTTTTATAATTAGTTTTGGTTATTGGCAATCTTTAAAAATCTCTATAATTTGATATACCATTTGTAGAAATAGTTCTAAATCCTCTTAAATCTTAAAGTGAAACAGATATTGATGAATACATAAAATAATTAAATAATATATTATAAATAAATAAAATTTTACAAAATAAACATAATTTCATTCAGCAAATATATTTAATGTTTCTAAAATTTCCTATTTTGCTTCTTCTGGATCTGTTTAAGATTATTCAAAATACAATGAGAATGCTCCTAATAATTTAGAATAATCTTTATGATAATCATGAGCAATCTCTTTTAATTTCAATAATTTATTTTCAGCTAATAGATTCTCTTTTTCAAACTATTCTAATTATTCTTATATTAATTCTAATTATTATATAATAAATAATATTACATTACTGTAATAATCTTAATATACTTTTAATATTTTCTACAAAATCTTCAACATTTTTTGAATATAAATAGATTTCAAAAACACCTTTAATTCTTTATTCATTTTTTTTCTTACTTAATAACCCAAACATATAATCATCAATTTTTAATAAACCATCTTTTTATAATTTCTTTAATAGATCTTCAAAAGTAATAGATTAATGTATTTTTTTAAATGAATCTTATTATGCTAATTTTTATATTGATGCTATAAATCCATTTAAATCTGAATCTTATAAAAATTAAGAATGAAGTTCAATAATATAAGTTTCTCCTTAACCATTTGCAATAGATTCTAATCTATTTTTCTCTTCAGCTGAAAAGTATTATTTAATTTATGATAATATTTCTTTAGCTCCTAATACAGGTGTATTTAATTATGGCTATTCTAAAGGAGATAAATCAGATCCAAATTAATTAATCTAAAATAATTATTTAAATTACATTAGTGAATTTACTATATTATTTAATAATCATTTATAAATTTTCTAACATATCTTAAGCATCTTAATTTTATAAATATGTTTCAAATGTTCCTAAAACTTATAAATCATTTTCTTTAAACATTTTTAATAGATAAATTTTTTCATTTTCTTATAAATGTTTTTATAATGTAAATTATCTCACTTAATTCATAAATAAATTATACATCTTGGTTTTTCTATAATCCTGAACATCATTATATTTTTCAGAAAGTAATTTGCTATTTAAAATAAAGATTCTTTTACATCAATTTAGATCTAGTATTCATTAAAATTCTAGAGGATTAAAACCCTTTAATAATTTCATAAAGTTATTCATTATGATCTTAAAACAATTATTAAACTTATTTTAATTTTGATTCATCTAAATCCATTTATGATATCATATCTTAAAAATTTTAATTAATTTCTTTATCTATTTAAATAGAATAGAATTTTTCAATACTATTATTATATAATATACGTTATTCTTTTTTTCTTTATACAAAATTTTCTTCACTAAATATTAAATCTTTTGCAGCTAAATTTTATTATTTCTTTTAAGATACTTCTTATTTGAGTTCATTTTATTAATCTATTTAGATTTCTTCTTATTATTTTTATTATTCTTATTTTTAAGTTGGAAAGTTTTGAAATAATTAAACTCTTTTTAATTCATCTGATATTTTACCATATGATTAATATTTATTATTATTTTCATCTTATTATTATTATTATTATAATTATGATTAAGGAGGTGGTGAAAGTGTTTCATTAGCTAGATTTTAAAAGTTTGGCATTAATACACAAAAAGGAGAAGGAGCCTTAGGTGATTAAAATTTAAATAAATTGATTTCTTTTGATAATTAATTTGTTTATTTCTCTGGTTCTGTTAAATGTTGATTTTAATTATGAATTTATTATAAAGCTTTTTTTAAATCATTAATAAAATAATTTATATTTGTCTCATATCTAAAATGTTATAAAGTAGCATAAATAGATCCTGATTTTGAATTTTTATATTCTTAAATAATAGTTATTTCTGATTTTTTAAAATTTTAATTAAGTAATTCATAAAATTTAGTATCTGCATAAAGTTGTAAAGGTTTTAAAGAAACCTATTATTTTTTAATTTCTTTATTATATATATCTGTACATAATCTAATAATTACTTAATCTTTTTCATTCCATAAATGATTTATAATACCATATTATTCAGAAGTAAATTCATAATTATTTCTTTCAATAATCAGATTTTTAATATCTTCCATTGATTCATAATTATTATTAATTATAGGTTATTTAGTCTATTTTAAATTTTAAAAAGGTGAAGTAGGTCTTTATTAATTTGTTGAATTTTCAATAATATAATTTAATTTCTCACATAATCCTTAAATATCTATTGTTCTTTGAGAATATTATAATAAAACACCAATAATCTCTTTATTTTCTTCAATTAAAAGTCTTTTTAACAATCTAGCCATTGTCAAATCTACTAATTCTTTATCTTCTAATTCAGCAACAATCCTAAATAATAAATCTTATTGATTTATTATAGATTCATTAGGATTTGATAGATTATATGACACTTAATCTTCAGGAATGTCACTACCTCTAGATGCTTCACGTTAAATTACTTGTCCTTAAACTCTAGTTATATATCTAGAACCAATCAATTTTGAATTATAGGAACCCTAATTACTTTGAATTTAAGATTCTTCAACCAATTTTCTTATTGATTTACTTCTTCTCTTTTCTGGAGATTATTATGAAGATAATTAAGATTAATTTCTAATATTAGAATTCTTTACACTAGGTCCTTAGATTTTAGTTTAAACTAGTTTTTGTAGTAATTCATCCATTTATTTCATTTTCTTATCATTATTCAATAGAATTGATACAATTCTCTTTGATCCTTTATACACCCATAAAGTTTTGTTTTGAATATCATATTCTCTATTCTAATCATTTAATCTATTATTAAAACAATAATAGAAATTGATCCAACTATTTAGATTGTTTATTAAAGGCTCTAAAGAAATTAGAAAATCAAATGATGATATATCTTTTTCATCAATTATATAAATGCAAGTATATTAATCATCTCCCAATATATTTTAAAACTCTTGTATATCATATATAAAGTCTATAAAATGAAGTTTATTATTGTAATCTGAAATTGTACTTAATTTAAAAGATGTATGTTATATTTTATTATCTATCATATTTTATCCATCTTCACATACTAAAGTGTAATTGTTGCATCTAGTTTAATTCAATTATTAGACAAATTATGTTAAATCAAAATAATTGCCTACGCTTTATTTATTTAAGATTTACCATCTAAATCAATTAATCCAATAATTTTATTTTTAATGTTAAATAATTGTCCTAATAATATTTATAAAGACTAAACATTTATTCTTCTATCCAAATTCAATTATTTAACTCTATTCTAATATTTGATTGTAAGTAACATATCAATTAATATTTATTTTTATTTATTAACTTCAATAAATAAATAATATCATATCAAATAAATTAATATATTTGTCAATTGATTTAAAATATAAATAAGTTAATTATAAGATAAGAATTTTATATCTACAAGTAATGAAATATATATAGAATAATATATTAGAAATTAAATTATAAGATATTTTTATATAAAATAACATAAAAAAGACATAATTTTAGTATTTTTTTTATTTTCAATGATATTAAATACTTTTTAAACTTTCTAAACTAGATTGACTTTGTTTTTTGAATGATTTTTCTAAGACATTAGTTAAATGAATTAATTTAAGTTTAATATTTTCATTATTCAACTAAAATATATTATAAACTATATGTACTTTTTAAATTAAACATTCCATTGATGATCTAATTTAACCTTATAATGTTTCTTTTTCTTATTAAATTGATGAGATCATCTTATTATATTTCAATATTTTTGTAAAATTAGCTTTTGTTGAATTCAATATTAATTCTAAATAATTGTTATTGATTTAACGAGATGTAACAATTTCTTCAAAATTAGCTGTAACTTAACAAGCAGTTTTAGCTATTTAATTAATTAATTTTTATTGTAATTTATCAAAAACAATAGAGATATCATTATTATCTATTTATTATGAAGCTAATAAACTTTATTAAACTTAACCACTTATATTAAAGTATTTTCTTTAATGATTTAATTAAGTGAGTATTTTATTATATATAATATTAAATTATTATGATGTTAACATCTTATCTATAATATTATCTTAATGAAATAATAGTTTAATTTGCATTTAATATTATTCTTTGATTGAAAAAAGTTCTTTTTTTAAATATTTGATTTCTTTAATAAGTGTATGAAACTTTAGTTTTAATCTATCAAAACTAAATGATTGAAGTTTTTTATGTTTTTGATAAAAATCTTTAGAATTAGTATTAGATAGAATTTTCATATTTTCAATTTGTAGAATATAATTTTTTTTCTAGTATTTTATCATTTAATCTTATAATTATTAATTTAGAATGCCTTCAACTTCTTTATTAAGACATTTAGATTCAATAAATTTAGTAATAATATCCATAGCTGTCTAATAATCAAGTTTATCATATTTTTATATTGTAAAATTTATCAGTTAATTTTCACTTAACTTTTAAACATTGAAAATCAATTATTATTCAATTTCATATAATATTTCTTAATGTTCATCTTCAGCAGATAATATAGATTCTTAAGGAATATTTTCTTATAGTAATTATTATTAAAGTTGTTAAATCATAGCATTTAATTTATCTATTTCTGATGTAAATTTCAAACACTAAAATAATTTGAATTATATACATCATTTTCAGCTGCCCATAATATTGCAATCATTTATCTAACAGATAAATCTGTGTCTTTCATACTATCAATTATTGTAGCATAATCTTATTTTAAGATTTATAAATGAGGATCCTAATCTAATTTTTGTATTAATTGATCATAATTATTCATATAAATAATAGTAATAAATATTAGAACAATATCAAATATTTAAAAATACTTTCTAATAAGTATTTTGTTAACTCTACATATGATCACTATTAGCTGTTTATTCATTATTATATTCTTAAGCAATTAATTATTCTCTCTCTATTTTCTTAGCCTACCAGTTATTTAATCTATATTATAAATAATAAAATACCTTTCCACCATTACTTCAATTTCTTTCTCTTATATACTAGATTAGATTTACATCTGGTGAATCTTAAATTTATTGAGTAAGATCAATATATTAATGCATAGGAAAGGATATATTCATCTGTTACATTTTAAATATAGATTTATACATTGTTCTTGGATTCATGTAATTAATAATCAAGATTATTTTAAATTGGAGTTTGCATTTAAGAATTCTCAGTTGCTTAAGTTTTTGATTTATATTAGATAGTATTTATAAATTAGCATTATCTTTGATATTGTTGATATATAGAATTAGTCATATTTTAAGTATAATTTGGTTTATTATTATATGTACTTCTTTTTGATTATTCTAATATTAATTGAATTATTACATATTTATGTGTCACTACTCTTTCTTAATTAGTAAAGTCTTTCAAAAACAGAAATAGAAGGGATTTCATGAGTTAATCTATTAGCATTATTTTAGATTTGTCTGATCTATATGAATAATAAATGAATACTTCATCTTCTTTTATTTAGTTTATTTTTTGATATTTATTTTAATTCCATCTATAAAGATCATTTATAGATCTTTATAAGTTGATTGATTATTTATTAATCTATTTTTATATTTAATTGATACTTCTGGTTTGAATAGATATTATTCTGGTTATGGTTTTTATTTGATTCTTAATTTAGAATTATTTTATAATGATTAATTGACTTAAGATTGTATTCTTTGATATTCTTCTTATGTAATGATTATTCTTTGAGAGTAGCATTTGTTCATATATTTTATATAAAATAGTTAATTAAAATCATTCAAGAGTATCAAAGAATTCTTAAATTGTGTTTTATCTACGAGGTCTTCTTATTGGAATTTGAAACCAATCTTGTCCATATAAGTTTTCAACATAATCAGTAAATGTTACTAACTGATATAATTTGTTTTCTTTATTTCTTTTTTATTGTTTTTTATTATGTGAATCATCATTATTATTATTGAAAAAATCATCTAGATCATTTTTAACTTCTATTTTTAAGATAGGTTATGATTGAAAATTTTCATGTCTTCTAAAACGAAAGGTTTTATGAGGTTTTTATATTTCTTATGTACTTTCATAATCATCTATTTTAGATAGCATTTTCTTTAGATTAAATTCAGATGGTCTTTATGTTTTAATAATATTTTAACTTTCCAATAGATTATCAATACTATCATATTTTAATGGAGATTAATTGAGAAGTTGCTTTGATTTTTCAGGTGACTTTAAAGGAGATTAAAATAATGTTTCTTAATCATAATCTTAACTAAACAAATTTTTAGTTAGATAGGATAGATTTGTTTTCCTATTAATCATGTCTAATTTATATATTAATTATCAATTTTCAGAATTTACTGTACTCATAATTTAATTTATTCATATAAAAGAGATATCAATCTTGGCCACTAGATACTGTAGCTTCAATAACTTAAGTATTATGTGATAAATATATTGTTTTCTATTCTTGAATCAATCTTTATATATTTAGATCTCTTCTTTTATTATTCAATTTAAATTAATAATGTTATTCCATTGGAATTCTATTGAATTATATATTTTATTCTTATTATCGTATTTTTGAATAATGCCAACTCTTTTATAAATTTCGAACTTCTTCAAAATATTTCCTATTTTATTCTAATAATGGTTAATGCTTATAAATCAATAATGAAATACTTGTGGTTTATTATTATGTAACAATCCGCAAAGTTTAGCATGTTTAATAATTTGATTCATTTCAGCAGCAGAATATATTTTAGTTGAATTCATTTCAGATAGTTTTCTATTCACACTATATGAACTATTTCTACTTTAGAAACTTTCATCATTATATTTCATAGATTAAGATCTCTATTTTGAAACTCTATCTATATGATCTAAATAACTAGGAGTTATATGATTATCCATAGGTTGAGCTTCTGAAACTTTAAGACTAATTATCATTTTATAATCATTATTACTTTGAAATCCCTAATAAATCTCTATATTTTTTAATGTATAATTATTTCCATTTTAATTTATTTGGATTCTCTAAATTCATTAATTATTAATATTATCATACTTCCTTTATATTTTATATAAATAAATATAATTTAAAAAAATACAAGTACTTATAAAATCCTGAAAATTATTGTAATATATAAATCAAAAAATACATGACCACTCCTGTATGTTTAATATTAATTAGCTAAAATAGAAGTTTAATATAGAAGATTGTTCAGAATCAGAAAAAGAGGAAACATATAAAAAATCATAAGATAATTAACAATTATTTCAAACATCTTTATTTTCCTCTGAAAAATAACACTCTAAATAATTAAAAAAGAAACCATTAGTTAAATTGACACTATAAGATTTCTTAACAAATTATGATTAAAATTTTGATGATGTTTTTGGTGAATAAGAAATACCATAACCTAAAGAATAAATAAATAAAAAGAAAAATAAAAAACCTACTTAAAAGAAAAAACCTAAACCTAAATCTGATTCTGAATCTGAATTTAAATCTATACCTAAAAAATCAAAAGTTGTAGAATCTGAATAATCAAATGAAAAATAAATAGAATATACACTTGTAAAAGAATAAAAATAACTAAATTAAAAAAAACATAGATTAACTAAAATTAATAGTAGTAAATTAACATCTGAAGAAAAATCAAATGATATCAAAAAATATGATCCAAATTCTATTGATCTACCTGAAAATACTAAAACAGATAAGAAGAATTTAAAATTAAGGAAATTTTTATTTAGTTTTGGTTTAGAATAATAAAATCCAGAAGATGATTAAGAATAAGAATAAGAAGAAGAAGAAAAAGAATAATAAATTGAAGAATAAAAAGAAAGTGTTAAAGAATTATAAACTAAAAAGAATATTAAATAGAAAAATAATAAAACAAATGATAATAATTAAATTGAATAATTAGATATTGATTAAATTGAAAATAAAAAAAAGAGATCATAACCTAAAAGATCATAAATTAAATAATAAGAAATTGAATAATTAAAAGAATAAAAATAAATAGAAGTAGATTAAAAAAATATGCTTAATCTTGATACATTGAAATTAAATGTCTATATTCCAGAATGCAATCCTAAAGATAATGATAATGATATTAATTAATGATTATACATATATTATCTTATCATTTTTATTATAAATGATGATGCCATTTGGTTTTCTCTGATAAAATACCTGGATTTGTAACATTTCCAAATTTCCCAAAATTTCCATAAACATTATGTGCTGTACTTAAAAAATGTCGTTTCACATTGAAACTATATTAATTTTAATAATTTTTATACTGTCTCTCTCCTAATTCTACTTAAGATGCATTTTTAGTTAAAATAGGTGCATCAGGTTCTGGTAATCTTGATCTAAATGAACCTGTATTATATGGTTCTAATAATTTATTAGTTGAACCAACATGTAAATAAGGTTTGACTTTATAATCATCACTTTAATTAAAAAATTAATGGAATACGAATATGTTGATGTTATGTATGTAGATTTTGTTTCATGTTCTGCTGGAGTCTTATTTGCAATTTCATAAAATGGTATAGCCTTTTTATATTATTATTATTTATTACTTCAGGATTTCCTTTTTTCATTTTAACATAAGAACATGAACTTACTTTTGTATTTTTAAAAAATGCTGCTGATTTATCTAACTTTAAAGATGGATGTAGTATCATTCTACCACTATGTATTGATTGTTTAGTGTCGGACGGTTGTGACATTATATTAATTATTTATTTTAATTAATGAGAACTAATCATTAATACAATTATAATTATAAATTAGACTAAATATTTTCCAGAGAAAAGTAATCAATTATCTATATATTTATTAGGTCTTATGATCTTCATTTAAAAAAATTGAGTGAAATAAAAAGCAAAAAATCTCATTCATAATCAAGAGTATAACATATAGAAATCTTGGAAAAGAGAAATAATATTAGACAATAAAGAAGACGTTTTGATTTAAGTGGTATATTTTCATGAAGATTTTATTAAATTTAGAACAATCAGAAAGAATCAATAAAGGAAACAGTTAATTATATTAAAAAATAACAGAAATATGCAATAGGCCAATGTAATAAGATTACTATAAATATGAAGATGAAAATCTACATCATCCTCATAATTTAAATTTAACTTTTCGTAAACTCTAAGCATAATAAATTTAACATGAAAATATTAAATTAGCTGATCGACTTATGAAATAAGAACCTGTCTTAAAATTGGATGAATATTCTCATTAATATAAAGAAAATAAAAGATTAATGTAAAGACTTTAAAGATATCAATAATGTTAATAATATGTTAATTCAATTAGGTAATAATCTTATATCTATATTAGAAATAATATAACTTTATCTAATCGTGATACAACAAATCATAGTTCAATATCTTAAAAGAAGAAGGATAAAATGTAGTTATAACCAATAATCAAGTATATATATATTTAAATATTAGTGTTAAGAATAAATCAATTGATATAACAGAGTTGGAAAAAATCAATTATTTAATTAATAATGAAGATGAATCAACTTTAAAAGAACTTTTATAATTATAAGAAAAGTAATAATAATAAGATGAAAAGAATTAGACAAAATAAGATTTGCCTGAAATTCCTTAACTTAAAGAAGAATCCTAAATTGAAACTATAAGATAAGATGAAATTGTAGAAAACTAAATCTAATAATAAATAGATAATGAAGTTAAATAATAAAGTGATGATATTGATTAATAATGAATTATTTCGTTTTCTTAACAGTATTATATAATAATAATATTAAATTTTATTTATTTATTAAATACTAATTTAACAGTCATTATGAAAACTAAAGACTAAGTGCTTAAATAAGTATATGAAAGTATTAAATCATTATATTTAGATGATAATAAAATATTTGGTAAAAAAAATAAGCCAAGAAATGAAGAACCAAATATGTTTGATATAATGAAATGGCCATTATAATAAGATGAACCTTGGGATTTTAAAAAGAAAATTTAAGTTGAAAGAGAACCAGAAACTAAAAAAGTAACAGCTAGAATTAATCATGAAAATTAACATTGGCAAACTGAAAATAAAGATAATTTTAGAAAAATTGAAAAATTAAAAATAGATGATTCTTAAATTTATGTTTAAAGTAAATATAATTTAAATAAAATTTATAGAATTAGATGATAAAACTATTAAAAATATTGCTAAATCATGTGAATGTTAAAATACTAAAGCATAATAAACATATTAATAATATTAATAATAAGAAGATATAGATGATTAATATAAATTACCTTTAAAATGGAATCCAAAATAATAATCAGCATATAGAGATAATTATTAAGTTAAAGATATAAAAGATTAAAATGAACTTATGTATTAATTAGAATAAAATAATAAAAATTTTAAAGGATAATACAAGGCATCACATCCATAAACTGGATTTTATTATGAAGAATCTAAAAAAGAAGAAGATGATTAAATTAGTTCTGATGAAGAAGAAGAAGAAGTTAATGATTAATAGAATGATGATTAGATTAAAAAAATGACAACTAAATTTATTAAAAAAGCAAAGACTTTAGATCCAAATAATCCTGAAGATGCTGAAAAATTAAAAAGAAGAAAAGAAAGAATAAAGAAATTTTAAGGTGAAACTCGTTGGATAGCAGATTCAGCATTTACAACATATTTTGGTAAACCTGCATGGGGTCCATATGGATATAATAATATCAATCCTGCAGTTGGTGGAATAATTTATGGTTAACATCTCTTATCACATAATGTTTAACCACATAGAAATAAGAATGATCCATTTTACATTTAAACTTATTAGAATGCATTAAGAAAAGGAGCTGCTATTGCTAATGTAGAACCAGAACCACCTAGAAATTGTAGAGAAGAGGATAGATTAAATCCAGAATAAGTGGAAGCATTAAAATCAAGGAATCCTTTAACTCCATAACCTTATTAAGAATTAAAAAAATAATTAGATTCAAAAGGTAAATAAGTAATACCTGAATTCAACATAAAGAAACCAGATTTAAGTAATACTTTAAGATTTGCTTCTGAAGCAGGGAGTGTTTAAGGTGAATCTCATCCATAATAGAATTAGAAGAATTAATCAAAAATAAAGAGACCATAATCAGCTTTGGATAATAATGGAACATAGAAATCATAAAATGAAAATAAATCAAAAATAAGTAATGATTAAAAAACTAAAGATTCAAAAAAAAAATTAGATAAGAAAGTTTAAATATAATCAGAATCAAATTTAAAAGTTGATGATCATTTAGCTATACCAGATAAGGCAAATAATAAGTTTATTGAAGAATTAAAATAGAAAAAGGAAAAAGCAAATCGATTGACTTGCAAAGTTAATGAAATAAATCCTTCATTATTGAAACAATCACCTAAATAAGAATAAAGGAATTAAATTACTGCTGATTTATAAGAAGTCAAATAATTTGATGATAAGTAAAATTTATTATAATCAATAGAAATCCACCTCCTAATTATTTATAATAATTAGATCCAATAGAATTGAATCCTAAAAACTACAAGGGAGTTCCATCTGACTGGTTACATAGAATTCCATTTGCAGGTAAGAAATAAGAGATCATAAAGAATGGATAATAAACAAAAGAATGTTTTGATTATGGCTTTTGATTATAGAATGATATCTATTGAATAAATTTGGTATCTTATTTTATAATCAATATTTAATATAATACAAATAAAATTAAGAATAATTAAAATAAAATTCCAATAGAAATGGCATATCAATAACCCTTTTATATGACTTCACCATAAAGATCTTAACCAACAATACAAGGTTATTATCCACAACCTATTGTTCAATCAAGACAGCCATAATCATATCCTCAAAAAATTACTTAGGTTAATTTCAATATCTATTAATATTTTAGGGTTATTGTTAGCCATAATACTAATAACCCACTCTTCCAGTTAAATAATAACCAGTAACTTTACAATAGCAACCTCAAAGAGTTCAATATTAATAGCCACCATTT